ACTCTTTATGTAACGACTTAGTGAAGCCCATGTTTTTCTTTGTAGCAATCGCAACCACTTTCAGAATCTCACCCAGTAAAAAAAAAAAAAACGATGGCAAATTAAAAGCAAGAAAGACACGAGCAGAAATACATTGGCTGCAACAACGGATGAGGTAACAACAAAAACGCACAGGGCCTGCAGGGGCCTCGGGCCAGCGTGTCCGAAGAGGGCGTGTACCTGCGTGCTCCTAACATATGACCACATGCAACTAGTACATAATAAGTTAATGATGGCACTCGTCAATCACAAAGGCTTAATTTAGCAACTGGACAATTATTAAATAATGTATAGATTACTTCATTTATAAAGATAGGGAAGGACAAATTTCAGAAACTGCTTGCAGGAATGGGAGGGGAAGTTTATAGAAATAGGACGTATTATGTACCGACTCGCCACGAGGTAGCTCCTACGTAATGAAAACATGTACAACGACACTATTAATATACAGTAGGTTAGCATTTTGAAGGTAACATGCAAAATTCTGAGTTAATTATTCTTGGTAAAGCCAAACACGCAAGGTGTGGCTGCTTTAATTCGGCTAACTTTTAAGACAAATAGTTTTCAAATGAATTAAAATAATTATTAAACATGACTGGCTATTGAGTTTCACAGATATATTACCATGCAGCAAACTATAAATTTGGAGTATGAAATATTCCCAGATTCATTTGAAATCAATCTAATAACCCTTTTTAAAGAGACAAATCTGGTTTTAAATTTAACTTTGTCTTTTAAAAGATATATCAGTAAAATGCAATGTTCTGTGGAACTGCGATGGTTCATTTTAGTCATGACAGACCCAAGACTCCTCCTTTCAGACCCTTCGCTAGCTTAAACCAGATGGGTCTACTGCCCCATCTAGTGGCTGCATGAAGCACCAACGCCTCCTTTTTATTTGTACTGTATTTTAGAAATTGCTACTGCACTTATTGAAGAGAAAATAATGATCTTTCTAAACAGAAATACCAATTTTTTATGGAATGCAAATTTAAATTATTTAATGTTCAATACAATTCTTAAAGGATGGAAATCCAGAGCATATGGTATTTATACAAAGCACAGATTTAAATGACTTAATTTAAATGTACTGCATAATCCTTTAAATATACCGGACGCAGTATCTTAGAGAAAACCCACCCTTTTTAGGACAATTATTACTGAACCTGCTGGCCGCAGAAGCCTGCGACTGCTAAGATACATTTTTTCTCTTTTTCAAGACACCTTAACTTATTCTTGTTCATACAATATTGGCATTTCACACTACTTGCCGCATTTTCAAGTCATTATCTAAACTGCACATCAATGAAATATTTAATTTTAAATTTAAAAAGCTACTCCTCAGCATTTCTCTAAATTCCATGCTAACATCTAGAAAATGTTTCTCTTTCACATTCCTATAAATATGTTGAAATTGCTCAAGCCTAAATAGACAACCGATCAAGAACTAATGAAGCACAGAGAGCCAGTGTTGAAGCCAGAATCAGAGTGCGCTTCTCATAGAAGGCCCTCCCTGTGCCTGCCCCCTGCTCCCATAACGTGTGTGACTTTCAAAAGTCATCTGTTCTTACCCTAAATGCCACATTAATTATTGCTGGTCACACACAAGTAACTTAATATGCCTGAGGCAAAGGGAAGGTTAAGAAGATGTTTATTAAAAGCATGTGAACCAACCTGAATTTCTACAGAACCAGTGTTCATTACATTCTGAACATTCAGTTATGAAATCTTGTAAATATTTATAAATTAGAAGCCAGTACAAGATCACTTTGAACCAGTGACAGCAATTAACCTAATTTTAGTTCTTCTTTTTTCCTCTTTAGAAATAAAGCTACTGATTGATGGTTTAGGAGACTGCCCGCACAGGGACAGCCCTCTGTTGGTGTCCTGGGGCACTGGTTCCTTCCTCTCAGTGCACGTACACAAATTGGCAGATATGCAAGGCCCTCCCACGAAATGGCACTGACACAGAACTGACACATGCCTTCTCATATACTGTAGGCCATCTCTGTATTAGTTATAACACCAATTTGAAGCCCATGCTGGATAAACAGGTGCTGTACTGTACTGCTTATGGAATAACACACACACAATCCATGTTCAGAGCATGTGCAACTTTTCCCCCGTTTCCATCTAAGACTGGTTGATCCCGCAGAGGTGGAACATGCAGATACGGATAGCACAATTTCTGTGCTAGGCAGACCAATGGATTTGACACGTCTTGGCTTGGGGCAGGGACTTAACAAGACTATGCAGATGTAGGTACAAGAGCATGAGACATGGGCTGGAAGGAGGACAATTCAGTGAGCCCTTAGCTATTAAAGAATGTGTGCCTAAGGACAGTCACCTGGAGAGAAAACATTCTCACAGGCTTTCACAGAGAGCAAATTGGTCAAGCAATGGCTGTGACTCATCCACATGGCTGACACTGACAGAAGATCTGCAAATTGTGGTACTGGGTTACAGGATAAATCCAGAGGGTACTTGACTGACCTTATCAGATACAAAAATTACATTTCTTGTTATATAGGTCTTGCTTTAATCTTGGTCTTAACCATCCAGCAGAAAAGTATAAAAATGAGGTGTATAAAGTAAAGCCATATTAATATGCTGAGCTATGAAGGGCTCAAGTCAATAACTTCTGTGGATAACCCACTACTATTGTGGACTGCTGGACTGTGTTGGATTGTTTTGCTGAATTCACGCACCTACATTATTTAGATGCCAATGGAATACCCATTTCTGACACGACTGAACAAAAAAAGGGGATATAAAGGAAGGACCTTTTTGTTTTTGTATACACTGAATAGTTAGGATAGATACACAGCTACTTTCGCTTAATTCAATGAGAAGAAAAATTTGTACCAATAGTGTTTGGACAGGATATTCTGTCTGCATCTTGTACTGTGGATAACCACTGAGAAGATAACAATGTACAATGTATTAATTATTGAAACTGTCCTATTAGTTTTGAAACTGTCTCATTGATATTTGTTTCTCAATAAAATAAAATTAAAAAAAAAAAAGATTTAAGCTACACCTGGATAAGTTCTGTAGCTTATGTCTTGGGGATTCTTCCTTGAATCTACTTTATTCAATAGCCCAACCATTACTGGCAAAGATGGAGGAACTCATTTAGGAAAGAGAAGGTGGGAGGAGAGAGGATGGTTTGAATCATTTCAATTTATTAGGATAATGGGCCAAACCAATAGAGTGGATAGAGAATTACTATTTCCCAGACTGGAAGATGCATGTGCAGGCTGCAGAATGCTGATTCTGTTCTCCACCTCCAGCCAGCACCTACACCCTTGTGACACCGCAGCACTGAGTCCCTCGGCAGTACATCTTCCTTTATTTCACTCTTCGTCATGTGGATAAGTAAAACGGAGGTGTCTACATGAAAAGGAGGCCAATGTGTATTCTCGAAACACATATTCTCAAGGAGGATGGGAATAACACAGAATATGTGATGATTCCCTGAAGACATCAGTTTTCTAAATAGAAACGACTCCATAAATGCAGTCTGTCATATGGCCCGGTCATACTTCTTGCTCTGGTTTGTGCTTAGTGAGTCCTGATGGACGCAGCATGTTTATTTGACTTCCATGTCTTTACACTTATTCATTGACTTAATGATAAAAAAAATTGATTTAAAGGAAGTACCACAGATGGAAACATCTCATGGAGAAGCTCAGAAGCAGGGAGGGGGAGGATGTGGAAAGGACAGCCTAAAACATGCATTCAGTAACCACCTTAGAAAACAGCGTAACTTGCTAGATGGACAAATGTAAACTCTAGATTCTGTAATGCTTTCCTGACTTAGGGAAGTCTCTCAAGTCGCAATTTCAATGCACAACAACAATGCCCACCCTTGAGGTTCAGAGTTCTGGGCCTGCTGTGCAGGTGGACAAATAGCCTGATGTAATAACATGGCAAGCGACGAAGAAGCATGACTTAAATGACTCTGCTACCTTGGCTTGGAAAGTGGTTTGCGTCACGTGGTTGTGTTTTTGATGGGAGTCTCATATGGATGCCCACACTGGAATCTGTTCCACTTGATGCTTCCAGTGAGAGGAAACATTGAAGTCTGAGTGCTGTTGAGTACAGGCACAGGGCCAGGCTGCTTGCTGTGAGGCATGTTTCACCAGGACACTGTGGGAAGGCATTTCCCTCTCCTACCTGGCCAGTGAGGGTCAGCCTCCTATTTGCCGTCACTCTCCCAGGCGCGGTAGTACGATTGTGGGCTCTTTTCTCATCTTCAGTCTTGCTAGTTCCCCCTAATGTGGGCACACAGGAGCACCCAGAGACCCAGGGGACACCAGCTCAGGAGCACAGAAGGTAGAGGGTGGGTGGGCAGGGGCTAAGCGACACATCCTTAGCTCTTTTCCTGGGTGAGTGGGTGAGCGAGGGGATGGATAGAGGGATGGCGGGCAAGTCACAGAATTACCTGTGCTAGCGACTTTTGTCTCTAAAACATCCCCACCCGCACCACACCAAAACCAAAACCAAACCAGTGGGAACAAAACAGAGTATGTGGAAATGTTTATAAAACTTTTCATAACTTACGTGCATGTCAATTTTAGTTTGTTTCTGTTTACTGTTAAAGGAAAAAGGATCAAAAGGAGAGCAGCATGACGTCAAGGGGAGGCAGGTAAGATGTAAGAATGAGAACTCTATCCATCTTTGTGTGTTCTGTGCCAATGGATATTAAACCTGATAAACTTCATACTAAGACTTCGCTTTTTTAATGGAGAAAGACAGGCAGGCAGGCAGGCAGGCAGGCAGACACACAGACACACAGACAGACAGACAGACAGACAGACAGACAGACACACACACACACACACACACACACACACACACACACACACAAATTCATTGTGCCTAGAAGGACGATTTAAATACTTTAGGGCAGATGAAAGATAGGTCAGGGTAGGCTGCGATGCCCTGCGGAGCGGTACCTGTGTGTGTCCTCCGGTGAGCCTTCAGGTGAGAACTTTTTGTGTACACTTTGTTGCATCCCTCGAAGTCACATCTGTGGATCCGCCGTTTCCGGGAGTCTGGGGATTCGGACCGTCTCTGGCGTCTTGTGCTCTCAATACTAAATGGTGAAATGGAACTGGAGAAAGGAAAAGCAGAGTCCCAGGTGAGAAGTGCGTCCCTCCACTCTGTGTCTCGTGGCCTGAGAGACACAGGCCTGGACCACACTCCCTGCTGCCACTTTCCTGGACTCCTCTTGGTTCCTAAACCCCGGAGTCAGACAGCTCGGCTTATTTCTGACCAAACAGTCCCATGCAGAGGAAGGCATGCTTAAAAGGACAAAAGCAGCAGTGGCCTAAAACCAAGTGAAAGCAGCGTCAGGTGAGCAAGTCCCTGTTATCAAAAGAAAGCGTCTGGGGTAGTAAACCAACACCTTAGTTTTGAAGTTCAGAATATCCTCTTTAGAGACTATTTTAGGAAGTCCTGCCATACACAAGTGAGAGGATGAATGCATTTAAAAAGTACCAGGAGTAACTGAGCTGAGTAAAGCCATGATGCCCGCTGCAAAACAAGTGAGGTCGGACTGAAAGTGATGACGTCAGTGCATCACGAAAGTGACTCACGACAGGCTAGTTCTGTGCACTGAAACATACCTGCCATTTAACTTTTCTCCTGGTAATTTTTCATGGTGATGAATAAATTACATTCTCTTCAGAGATCAGCTGTACTACTATTATTTATTTTATTTTTTTGGCTAGCTCAACCTACCCTGAGGGTGGGGCTGGGCCATCATGTGGTGCCGGGGATGGAACTGTGGTCCCCTGCACCTGCCTAAGCGTGCCTAAGCAGGCGCTTTAGACCACTGAGCCATCTCGCCGACCCCTGTACCACTCTCATTTTAAAAAAGTTTTAGCTGCTAAGTCTGCCCTGACTGGCACGTTGCTTCAATGAGCCATTAGAAAAACAGGCTTAGGCTGTAATATTAGGTAACTAATTAACACATACCTTTTTCAAGCCTTAATCTTGAGATTATTTGAGAAAGATTATAATTCATCTTTTTTTAGTTAGCCATGAAATTCTTTAAAATTATAATGAAACATGATAAAAAGCATTTCTACCCTAGAAATTTACCACTTCATTCTCATATAGTTTGTTTATGCAAGATAGGCTTCTTTTAAAATTAGTTTTTATTAATGAATCACCTCTTAAATAAACTAAACATTGAGCATAAATATAAATTTCCCCCTTATCTTCTACCACCTCCCTGATCCATTCTTTTTAGTTATGTTACATATCTGTATTCGTAGAAATTCCTCGTACTGTCAATTGGAATAATGTAAATAATATCATGCTGATCAGATAATTCTGAAAAATCTTCTACCCTTGCCCTTTCTGCATTCAATATTAAGCATGTGAAGTTTATCCATATTGATTAAATGTGATATTTGAAGTAGCGTATACTATAAATTATCAATTCTCAGATGCATTTTTTTTTCACATTTTAGCATTTCTAATACCAAGAAAGGTCTTGCTTGTTATCCTTTATTTTGGAATAATTTTCTCTTTATTGGTACATACAGTAATGGCGCACTTTACAACAGATGACATTTCAACTTCAGCCAAAGGTGAGTAAACTCTTTCTATAGAGATGGACAGTATATACTGTATTTCAACTGTGAGGGCCTTAAGCTCTTACATCATAACTAATCAACTCTGAAATTGCAGAATGAAAGCAGCTATAGATAATATATTAACAAAGAAGCATGGTTTCAATAAAACTTTATTTATAAAACAAGTGGCTTGTATTTAGTTTGTAGCTATAGGTTTTGGACTCCTGACTTTGATGAAGTAAGCTAGTAGCCCAATAAATGCACATTCCAGAGTTTAAAAAAAAATCTATTTCCTAAGTGAGAGGTGCATACACTATTTCTGATACTGTTTTAGCATATTGCTCCAATAATTTTTCTAAAATGTCTCCTCCTATACATAGAGCTTTTAGGTTTTCAACACATTTTTTTCCCTTCTACAAATGACAGATATCGCAGCTTTATCTTAGGTAAGATCGAGTATGAATGACATTTGTCCATCTGTGCCTAAAACAATCTGACAAAGGATATATGTTAAAGTGAACAAATGTGTGCTAAGTAAGGCTAAGCAAATGTTCTCAGCCTTGGCATCAATCAGCGTAGATCTGTGGTCTTCCGAAGAACTGAGTCAGTCACGGGAGCAGGAGTCTACCACAAAAGAGACAACAGAGTAGCTGGACTGCCCCATGGAAGAGCAGTTTCAGTGCAACTCGTCCTCTGTTTTCTGGCACTGGGTATGAGTGTGAGGTATAAGGAAGATTGTGTTCCACAACATGGAGAGAGCAAGTGATTGTTGAATATGTAGTCACAAAAACAAATAGGAATTTGGCACCAAGGACCTCAAAAAAAGGGGGTCATTTACTGTGTTGTGCAATGTTTAACATCTTTTTCAACAAAAATGACAGGTATTTGTCTCTTAAATTTAAAACTTAAAAATCAGCTGGGCCTGATATAGCATTTAGGAGGATGAGGCAGGAAGATCTCTGAGTTTTAGGACAGCCTAGGCTACAAAGTAGGTTTAAGACTGGCCTCAACTACATAGATACCCTGTCAAAAAAAAAAAAAAAAAAAAAAAAAAAAAAAAAAAAGAAAAAAAAAGAAAAAAAGAAAAAGAAAAAAGAAAAAGAAAAGTCTGTAGAAGTCTAAATGTAGCACTGCATTAACATACATATCCTTTTGGCTACAGTTGATATTAGCTGTTTATCTTGTTAAGTATTCGTGTATATCAAGAAAAATAAAAAGTGATTTTGAAATGAAAACCTACTAACTACTATCCAGACATTAAGGAACCAAGAAGCAAGACTGACAAAGTCCATCCTGTATGGCTGGCAAAGAAAGGTAAGCAAAGGCAAAGGCCATGGAGTAACATGAAGCTGATTCAGAGAAACATGAAGCTGATTCAGAGAGAGCTCGCAATTTACATCAATGGAGGACATGTCAGGTGGGTGGCCTCACTGCCGTGAGACCTCACACCTTGGTTTTCCTCATTCAAAAACAATTTTAAGTCATCATGAAGAACAGCCACTTAAAGCTATCCATGCAATAAAAATAACTTTAAAGACACTTTTTAAAAAGGCATTTGTAATGACTGGTTGCAGTCAATAAAGCTAACTTTGCAATTCTATTCAATTCTCCCATGACCCCACACTTAAGTGGCAGGGAAATGTTCAGAAGATGGGGAGGAACCTTTGTCTAAATTATGTCCTTCAGAACTACTTGATCTCTATGTAGAAAAGTGGGAAAGTAAGTGGGTGTCTTAGCTACTTTTCTTGTTCTGAAACAAAATACCTGACACTAAAAGTTAAAGGAGGAGAGGTTTAGCCAACTGACAAGTTTGTAGAGGTTTCAGTCCATAATCAGCTAGCTCTAAAGGCAAGGCAGCATGGAAGAGGAGAATAGTTCATGGTGGGAAGATGACAGGAAAAGCAATAAGAGAGGAAGGGATGACTCTTTCTGTCCCCTCTATTATATGCAGGCTACCCGCCCTAGGGCAGGTATTACCCTCACATCCTTAATCACAGCCAGAACTACACCACCCTGGTCAGTAGGCTGATTTAGTAGTCACACACCTCTGACCTCAGCACCACACACTCTAGACCCAGTTACCCATGAAAAATCTGCCCCCTATGAGGGGGGTACATGAGGCTTTGGGGTACATCTAGACACAAACCATAACAGCAGGGATGAGGAAAAGGGGGCCTAAAGCTCTACAAGAATATCAAATCCCAAGAAGAGAAGACAGCCCAATGCCAAGACCAACAGTCGCCGTATCAGGCTACAGCACATTCTGTGGTTACCACGCTGGATGATGGTGAGGCTGGGGGTTGGATGATGGCATCAGCTGAGGCCCATCCATGACCAAGTCCAGGACCATGACAGCCAAGGATTGCTGCCAGGTAACTTCTGACCTCTAGAGCCCAGGGCTGTGTAGACACTCAAGAAAAGTTTGCTAGGTAGAATGACTAAATGAATTTAGTCAGCTATTCTTAATTTTTATTTTGATATAGTTAACAAATATTTAATTGGTCAATAAACATTAACCAATTAGTATGTTCCTTGGTCTATAAGTCTTCACATATTGGGTTCTTAATTCCTCCCTGTCTTAGTTATTTCTCTCTTGTTCCTCAGATAAAATATCTGATACTCAAAGGCAGAAAGGTTACTTAGCTGCCAGTTTATAGAAGTTTTGGTCCACAATGGTCCAGCTCCAGGACAAGGTCACTCATGGCAGAGGGGCAGTAGTTTATGGCAGGCAGAAGACAGCAAAGTCAACAACTGATCTTAACAGCACCTCTCTCTCCCTTTAATACTGTATTCAAGATGCTGGGGTTAGGCTAGTACCATAGCAATAGTGAAAAGATCCCACATCACACAATCCCAGCATCACACATTCTAGATTCAGCCGTGTCAGAAGAGCCCACCTCCCATGCCTGCATGAGGCTTTGGGGGTAAATCTAGACACAAACCATAACACTCACCCTTCTACCCCTTCCCTCAAGATTCATATTCCAAATGCTATTAGACATCAGGGCATCTGTGTCTTTGTTAAAACATGCATACAGAAGGGACTGAGTTCTTTCCCCTAATTTCAAGAGGAGGGTATTCTGAAACATGACTTATAATTAAAATTCCTAGTGTGAGGCCACTGTGACAGCTATGTAGCATGGTAGTACACTTAAGAGTCAAAAGTGCTTTGAGTCCGACAAGCATTCAGGTAAGCAGTACGAAGCACAGGAGTGATCCTGGTTTTCAGCTGCCCCTCTCAGTCTGGGGCTGTCCATGAGTGTGGGCCTATGGCCACAGCAACTTGTCATGCTTCAGGGTCTCTGCTCTTTCCTTCCTGTTCCCTCTACACAATGTATCTGCTATTCACAAAGCACTGGCAATGTCCTTCAATACTTTGGTGCTTCAAAAACTGGACTTGTTCTACAAGATCAGAAATGTACAAGATGTTACTGCCTTTGCCAGCACAGAAGTCTTGCAATTATCCTCGTTATAATCTCAGTATGAGGCAACGCAGTTGTAGCTGCATTCTCAACTGCAGTACTAAATA